GCCGTATGCCTGCTCACCGCCTGTCTCCATCTCCTTTCCCGCACAGCCGTTCGAGGCTCCATCCAGGAAGTCACCCACGAGCCCGAGCGGCAGGACTCAGCCATCCACCTGCGCGTGAGCAGACTCTATCGGCAGAAAAGCAGGGTCTTCGAGCCGGTGCCCGAGGGCGACGGCCACTGGCAGGGGCGTGTCAGGACGCTGCTGGAGTGTGGCGTGCGGCCAGGGCATGGCGACTTTCTCTTTACCGGCCACATGCACTTTGGGGAGGCGCGGCTCGGCTGTGCCCCACGCTTCAAAGACTTCCAGAGGATGTACAGGGACGCCCAGGAGAGGGGACTGAACCCGTGCGAGGTTGGCATGGACTGACCCTGGGGGTCCTTGGGGCGCTGCCCTCCCTCTCCTGATGAGTCACATGCTTCGGTGGGTGCTGCGGTCCCGGTGGGGCCGTGCAGTGGGGGCCACCCGCTGGGGACCGCATGCCTGGGGCCCAGGCCTGACCCTGGTGCCCAAGCTGTGGACGTTCTCACCACACTCAACCCCATGAGCTCCCAGCCAAGGACACCCTGGCCAATTGGAAATGCTGTAAAATGCAAACTAAGTTATTATATTTTTTTGGTAAAAAAGAAATGTCCATAGGAAACCAACTCCTGTGTCTTAAAATGCCTTGGTGTGCCATTTGATACTGTTCTCTAAAGACGTTTTGAGTCACGGCGTCTGGTCTGGTGTTGGGGGAAGCGCTGGCCATTGGGCACAGTGGACGTGTGAAAAGGTGCCATTCAGAGTTGTTCTCACGACAGAAGTTTATGGAGCCAAATAATATGTTTTTTATTTTTCATTTTATTTTTAAAGAATGAGCTTGGCCAGCTGTAGTCCTTTTCGGACTGCTAGTTGTTTCCATTCCAGAGAATAAAGACCAGGATCCGACCAGCTAGGAGCCAGTCTATCTTTCGCCAGGTTCGGTGCCCACGGCCCTTGTTCAGGGCCACGCTAGACATACCCCATGGGCGTCCATTGCCTCGGCAGACGCGCCTTGCTCCCCCCAGCCACTGTCCGTCAGCGCCTGCTGCTGCATTTCCATTAATTCAGGTCCTGCCCTGTGGCCCCAGCCTCCCCAAAGTGCAGGAGCCCACAGCAAGTCTCTGGATGCCCAGGAGCTGGTCTGAACCTAAGTTGGTGACGCCATGTCCCCAAAGGATGCGGCTACCAGAACAAATCACCACCAACTGCAGGCTGAGACAGCCTCGTTCTCTGAGTTCCTGAGGCCACAATCCAAAGTCATGGTGTGGGCAGAGCCTCTTCCTCCAGGGGTTCCAAGGAGGGCCCTTCACCTTCTCCTCAGCCGGGGAGGACCTTCACCTTCTCCTCAGCCGGGGAGGGCCCTTCACCTTCTCCTCAGCCGGGGAGGACTCTTCACCTTCTCCTCAGCCGGGGAGGACCCTTCACCTTCTCCTCAGCCAGGGAGGACCCTTCACCTTTTCCTCAGCCGGGGGAGGACCCTTCATCTTCTCCTCAGCCGGGGAGGACTCTTCACCTTCTCCTCAGCCGGGGAGGACTCTTCACCTTCTCCTCAGCCGGGGAGGACTCTTCACCTTCTCCTCAGCCGGGGGAGGACCCTTCACCTTCTCCTCAGCCGGGGAGGGCCCTTCACCTTCTCCTCAGCCAGGAGAGTACTCTTCACCTTCTCCTCAGCCGGGGGAGGACCCTTCACCTTCTCCTCAGCCGGGGAGGACTCTTCACCTTCTCCTCAGCCGGGGGAGGACCCTTCACCTTCTTCTCAGCCGGGGAGGGCCCTTCATCTTCTCCTCAGCCGGGGAGGACCTTCACCTTCTCCTCAGCCGGGGAGGACTCTTCACCTTCTCCTCAGCCGGGGAGGACCCTTCACCTTCTCCTCAGCCAGGAGAGTACTCTTCACCTTCTCCTCAGCCGGGGGAGGACCCTTCACCTTCTCCTCAGCCGGGGAGGGCCCTTCACCTTCTCCTCAGCCGGGGAGGACCTTCACCTTCTCCTCAGCCGGGGGAGGACCCTTCATCTTCTCCTCATTCGGGGAGGACTCTTCACCTTCTCCTCAGCCGGGGAGGACCCTTGACCTTCTCCTCAGCCGGGGGAGGACTGTTCACCTTCTCCTCAGCCGGGGAGGACCCTTCACCTTCTCCTCAGCCAGGGACAGCCTCGTTCTCTGAGTTCCTGAGGCCACAATCCAAAGTCATGGTGTGGGCAGAGCCTCTCCCTCCAGGGGTTCCAAGGAGGGCCCTTCACCTTCTCCTCAGCCGGGGAGGACCCTTCACCTTCACCTCAGCCGGGGGAGGACCTTCACCTTCTCCTCAGCCGGGGGAGGACTCTTCACCTTCTCCTCAGCCGGGGGAGGACCCTTCACCTTCTCCTCAGCCGGGGGAGGGCCCTTCACCTTCTCCTCAGCCAGGAGAGTACTCTTCACCTTCTCCTCAGCCGGGGGAGGACCCTTCACCTTCTCCTCAGCCGGGGAGGACTCTTCACCTTCTCCTCAGCCGGGGGAGGACCCTTCACCTTCTTCTCAGCCGGGGAGGGCCCTTCATCTTCTCCTCAGCCGGGGAGGACCTTCACCTTCTCCTCAGCCGGGGAGGACTCTTCACCTTCTCCTCAGCCGGGGGAGGACCCTTCACCTTCTCCTCAGCCGGGGAGGGCCCTTCACCTTCTCCTCAGCCGGGGAGGACCTTCACCTTCTCCTCAGCCGGGGGAGGGCCCTTCACCTTCTCCTCAGCCGGGGAGGACCCTTCACCTTCTCCTCAGCCGGGGAGGACCCTTCATCTTCTCCTCATTCGGGGGAAGACTCTTCACCTTCTCCTCAGCCGGGGAGGACCCTTGACCTTCTCCTCAGCCGGGGGAGGACTGTTCACCTTCTCCTCAGCCGGGGAGGACCCTTCACCTTCTCCTCAGCCAGGGACAGCCTCGTTCTCTGAGTTCCTGAGGCCACAATCCAAAGTCATGGTGTGGGCAGAGCCTCTCCCTCCAGGGGTTCCAAGGAGGGCCCTTCACCTTCTCCTCAGCCGGGGAGGACCCTTCACCTTCTCCTCAGCCGGGGGAGGACCTTCACCTTCTCCTCAGCCGGGGGAGGGCCCTTCACCTTCACCTCAGCCGGGGGAGGACCCTTCACCTTCTCCTCAGCCGGGGAGGACCTTCACCTTCTCCTCAGCCGGGGGAGGACCTTCACCTTCTCCTCAGCCGGGGGAGGACTCTTCACCTTCTCCTCAGCCGGGGGAGGACTCTTCACCTTCTCCTCAGCCGGGGAGGGCCCTTCACCTTCTCAGGTGTGCACCGGCTCAGTAGTGTGCCAGCTCAGGTGTGCACTGGCTTACACCGGCTCCGGTGTGTACCGACTCAGATCTGAGCCAGCACATGTCTACAGGCTCCCACAGGTCACAACAAGAAGCAGGTGCTTCTGGGTGAGGACCTGAAGCAGCAAGGCTGGGGCTGGGCCAGGTCCCCCTGTGGCTGGTGGACAGCCCACCTTTGCCAACAGGGTGCCACAGCACAGGTGCCCAGCCCACAGTGGGGAGGCAGAGAACCTGCTCCTGGAACCTGGGTTTTCTGGGCCGGCTCCAGGGGTGTTGACTGACTGGAGGAGGCTGCAGAACAAGAAGGTCAGGTTTCAGGCTGGCGGTCTCTCCTCAATTACAGGGATGCGGGGGTAGGCCCGAACCTGGGGCCCGAACCTGGGGCCCGAACCTGGTGTCAGGTGGAGTAGAGGCCACGCTTCATGGGAGGCTACTGTGTTTTAAGAAGTGCCTGTGGGCTGGGGGGCTTTTGGTCCAGAGACTAGGGGAAGGCAAAGCTTACCAAACAGTCTCCACTCGGGGTCGGGGGCCAGGGCTGAGGTGGGAGGGGTCCAGGAGGCTGTTGTGAGAGACAGCCGAGGCTGTCGGGGCCTGTGGGTGGGCGCCTGGTGCTGGCACACGAGAACCTTCTCTCTCTGGCCTGTGAGCTTAGTACCACGAGGGAGCCTCCCCCAGCGGCTGCTGGTTGCAGGGCAGTGGGAAGATCCACATTTCCCAGCAGCTAAAGCGCCCGACCTCCCTCTGACCCGTGCCCTCCTGCTGCCCAGAGCCTCCGGGTGTCAGGCCACGATGCGCTCAGGGACCCACCCTCCCTTAGTGCCAGCTCCACTTGTCCTGCTCCTCCGACGCCTCCTCTGGTCCAATCCCAAGGCCTTAAGAGGCCCGGACGCCTTTCTCACCACGTTCCTCAAACACGCTGGTGCAGGGAGCCCCCAGCCTGATGGGTTTGCCCAGTGGTTGGTGGTCACTGCACTCCCTGGTCTGTTTGCAGAGGGGCAGCCTCACCTGTCTCCACAACCCTGCCAGGCAGGGCCCACATTAGAGCTGGGGACAGAGGGACTCGTGAGGACGCTGGACCCAGTTTTCTCCTCCCACCCATGGGATGCCCCAAGGGCCTCAGGCTCCTGTAGTTCATGGACGCTCAGGGGTGTCCGCCTTCCTCCCACCTCCGACCAGCGTCAGTCAGGGCCCCTGGCACGGGCCCCTTGGGGACCCACGCCTGCCTGCCCTGTTTATTGGGGTGCTAGGGAGCCCCAAGAGCCGTGTGTGGGCCCCTCATGCCCCGCTGCCGCAGCAGGTACCCTGATGGCACTGGGGCCTCATCTCTTCACTGGGCCAGGACAGGGCTGTGAGGTCCAGCTGCCTGCTCAGCTCTGGGACCTGCCCTCCTGCAGGAGCCCACGGCCGTGAACATGCGCACAGTGGATCCGCATGTCCTCCGAGGAAAAAGAGAGGGTCAGGGTTGAGTGTGTGGGTGCTAGGGGGTGCAGAACTCACTTCTTTTTTTTTTTTTTTTTTTTTCCCCGAGATGGAGTCTCGCTCTGTGGCCCAGGCTGTAGTGCAGTGGCTGGATCTCAGCTCACTGCAAGCTCCGCCTCCCGGGTTCACGCCATCCTCCTGCCTCAGCCTCCCAGTGGCTGGGACTACAGGCGCGCGCCACCACGCCCGGCTAATTTTTTGTACTTTTAGTAGAGACGGGGTTTCACCATGTTAGCCAGGATGGTCTCGATCTCCTGACCTCGTGATGCGCCCACCTCGGCCTCCGAAAGTGCTGGGATTACAGGCGTGAGCCACCGCGCCCGGCCGCAGAACTCACTTCTAACTATGAGGGTCGAGGTGGGCTTCACAGAGGAGGTGGGCTTTGAGCCACGCCTGCAGCCCGGCATCTGGAAGTGGCTTCTGGGCTCTCCCTGAGCTCTCTCCTCTGCAGGACACCCCTGCCTGCAGGTCTGCACCCCCAGCTCCTTCCTGGGGACTTGATATCATGGTCCTGCCTGACACCCCAGGGGTGAACACAGCACCCAGCCCTGAGGGTTCCCATCTGCTGGGGGCGTCTGACCTGGGCAGGCCAGGGTGGGTGGCAGGGAGCCCAGTGGGGGCAGGTGCAGGTGACCAGGGGGAGGAGATGCCCTGGCTGGGGCCTGGACTCACTAGGTCATCACCAATGCAGGGGGTCTTGGCTCACCGGACTTTGCCACCAGAGAGGGTTGGGGAGCTCCACACGAAGGCAAGGAGGCCGGGGCTCCGGGGGTGACTCGTCCCCGGAGGGCGACCAGAAAGGCCGTCGGAGTGCGGCGCAGCCCGCACTGTCCTCGCTGAACACCTGGTCCTGCCCTGGACAGCGACTGCTTCCCCTCCAGGGTGGCCCCGTCGTCCCCCCGTCATCCCCCACGTGCTCCAACAGCAGCGAGACTTTCCCAAGACAAGTTGGAGGCTTCAGAGCTCTTGGGGGTGGTGGCTTCTCCCAGTAGCCCCATATCTGTCAGTCCCCCCATAAGGGAGGGGGGTGACAAGCTCCTCCTTGCTCCCAGAGTGAGGATCGCCCCTGCTTTTCCGGCCCCCACTTGCCCCCTCCACCTGCCCTTTTCCCTCCGGGGAGCCCTGGAGGTTTTCCAAGAACTCTCCGGGTCGAGGGGGCAGCCTGTGCTGGGTGGTGGGGGGCTCCTGCCTGCTGGATGCCAGACACCTCCACCTTTCACCCTGGGGGTCCAGTCGACTGATGGCCATGAGAGAGAAGCTGAGAGCAACCGCAGCCCACAGCTCCACGCTGGCCCCCCATCTGCAAACGCTGGGCCCCATGGGAGCTGTGACTCAGTTTCCCGTTTGTCACGGGGCTGGCTGAGGCCCCGGCGAGTGCCAGCCATGTCAGGTTGGGCAGGAATGTGGCCCGTGTTCACGTGTGTCTCTGTGTGTGTGAGAGAGAGAGAGGCGTCAGCTGGGATGCTGGGGTGGCAGAGACAGTCCGGGCTCACCCCTCAGCCTCCCTCGACCTCGACTCCCCCCACATACGGAGCCACCCCCTTCCTGGCTATCGCAGGAGTTGAGCTTCCTCTGCTGGGAGGGCTTTGTCGGAGGTTCCCTGTGGTTCCAGAAGGAAAGCTGGCTGCAGGGAGGGCCGGGCACTGGGCACCGTGTGGCTGAGCCTCTGGTGGGGGCTGCACCTCTGGTGGGGGCTGCACCGCTGGGTTCCCAGACCCCCTCTTTGCCCCCCCGCCCCCACTGCACTGGGAGGACCTGCTGAGGGGCCAGAATCTGGCTTCGGGTCCCACGGGTGGGGGCGGGGCCCCTCATTAGCACTGCAGCTGACACTGAGGGCTTCCACCTCACTAATTGATTAAACTGTTTAGAAACCAGGCCGGCGTGGTGGGAATCGGCCCCAGCCGGGCCGTCCGCTCCCCTTCTGTGCAGGCAGCGGCCCCTGGAGTTCACCCGTCAGGCGCGTTGGTGGGGTCTCGGCCCTGGCCGCCCTCGGGAACCCTTCTTCGCTGCTTTGTGTGGTCCAAAGTGGTCCTGAGAGGCGCTGGTGAGACCCTGGGGTTCTCTCCTCCCCGACCACTCACTGGGCGAGCATGGAGGGCGGCCTGCTGTGCACGGGCATGTTCCCGGGAACCCGCCTGCTGGGATTAAACCAGCCCTTGTGAAGGATGGCAGGTGGGTTCCTCATTACCAGCAGGGGCACGGGGCTGTGAGCAGAGGCCCAGGAAGCAGCGCCCAGAGGCCCGAGAGCCTTCTGCTGTCCTGGGATTTTCTGCGCTGTGACCTCAGCCTCTTCCTTCCTCTCCTGTGGGATTCCCCCAACACCCCTTCCCCTCATGCCATTCCTTCCCCACCATGCTCCACGCCTGCCCTCCCCAGTGCCCCCTACCCCCAGGTCTTCCCTCTAGGACATCAGCCCAGGCTCAGTCCCAGGATAAGGGCTGAGCCTTGGTTCCCAGTGCAGCCCCTGTGCCAGCACGCAGTGGGTGCTGCCCCCGCCGGAGGAGCGGCCTGGGGCCTGGTCAGCCCTGCTGGTGTCTGGCCTGCAGCCAGCACGGGCTCTGCCATTCACCCTTGGTTCTAGGTGGGTGCCCACCCAGGCAACCTCGGAGCAGAGTGGGCTGGGCTCCGGAGGTGGGGGCGGCCACTAACAGCAGGAGGTCGTGGCAGTGCAGCTATGGCAGGGGTTCTGAGGGGCAGAAGCCAGGAGCGGGACATGGGGACGCAGACCTGCAGGAGGACGCCGGCTCACCCAGCGGGGAGGGGATGGCTGCCCAGGGACCCTGAGCTGCCTGCTCTGCTCCCCCCACTGCTGGGACAGGGGCCCCACGGGGGATGCCAGGGAACGTGAGGAATCCGGAGTCAACACTGGGCCACTGTGTGCTGCCACCCGGGCGGGCCGTGGTTTATAAAAACAGCGGAGGCTTGGCTGGTATCAGGGCGGTGAGGTCACGGCGGCTGGGGGCTCTGGAATTTCTTCAGAAGAATTTTGCTTACCAAGCCACATACTTTCCTGGCCATCAGCTTGATCAGGGGCAAGATGAAAAATATGCTAAACAACAAAGAAACAAAAAAGCACCCAGGCTCCGGTGAGGGAGGGGCGCTGTGGGAGGGGCGGAGGGCCCAGGGAGGGTGAGGGGCCGGGAGCCACTCTGCCCAGCACTCTCCGCCGAGAGAGCCCAACGCCCCTTCCTTTCCCCTTTTAGCACTGCTGAGCGGGACTCACGTGTCCAACAAGGAGCTTTACTAAAAACCGAGGCAATAAAGAAAACACAAATGACATAAAAATAGTCAAGAGCACATTCTTGATGGTAGATAACTGGTCTCCGGCTGCAGCGGCTGCCAGGTTTGGAGTGCTGGTCGGCCCACACCGTTCGGGCTGGGGGTCTGGCCAGGCCCACCGGCGGACAGGGGCGGCCGTGGGCAGGACTGGGGTCCCGTGGCGGACCGTGAGGGGGTGGCGGACCTGATGGCGGGCGGGCGGGTGGACAAGGGTGGCAGGACCCGTGAGGGGCGTGGCGGGTCTGTGGGCGGTGGACAAGGGTGGCAGGACCCGTGAGGGGCGTGGCGGGTCTGTGGGCGGGTGGACAAGGGTGGCAGGACCCGTGAGGGGCGTGGCGGGTCTGTGGGCGGGTGGACAAGGGTGGCAGGACCCGTGAGGGGCGTGGCGGGTCTGTGGGCGGGTGGACAAGGGTGGCAGGACCCGTGAGGGGCGTGGCGGGTCTGGGCGGGTGGACAAGGGTGGCAGGACCCGTGAGGGGCGTGGCGGGTCTGTGGGAGGGTGGGCAAGGGTGGCAGGACCCGTGAGGGGCGTGGCGGGTCTGTGGGAGGGTGGGCAAGGGTGGCAGGACCCGTGAGGGGCGTGGCGGGTCTGTGGGAGGGTGGGCAAGGGTGGCAGGACCCCTCAGGCAATGTGTGTGCCATGCAGTGGGGCTCTATAAGAAGCAGCCCGGGCAGCTTGGGCAGGGGCAGACCGGGCAGTGCCCACAGGTCTTTGTCCACCAGAGCCTGTGTTCAACCTCAGTGTTGCTCCGGATGTGGATAGGAGGAGACACTGTCTGGGCCACAGACCAGGTGCTTCCTTCATCCTGACCACACCTGCTTCTGCCCAGGAGACGCCGCAGGGGCCGTGTTCCCCGCCCGGCTCCTCGAGTGGTTCCCAGGCTCCTCCTCCGCCCGGTTCCACCTGGAGCCGTGGGGCTGTGCCGGGGTCGCCTCGCTGCAGCCGCAGCTCAGGGAGAAGCCACTGCTGGGGCTCCTGCCTCTCCCGTGCAGTGGGGCCGAGCCGAGCTCCACCAGGTCTGGACTTCTGCGCAGGGAGCTGTGCTTCCCAGGGTGGTGGGGAGGAGTCCCTGGTCCCAGCCACGGTGTGTCCTTGACCAGGACACTTGACTCTTCTGCCCCCAGACGGTCTTGTCTGCACCTCCAGAGCCCCCAGGCTTGCTCACTTGGCTCTACTTCTGGGCAGGGTGCCCTGGTATTGCTGCTGCTGGCACCTGCCGTGCCTTGGAGGGGTCTCCAGTGGGACCTCTGAGCACGGCTCTTCCTGTACCTTGAGAGGTGAGCAGAGGGCGTTTGTGGGAGAACTGGAACCTGGGGAGGAAAAACCCCAAGGCAGGCAGAGACTGTCCCTGAGTCTGTCCAGTGACCCACCAAAGCTGAGTGGTGTAGGACACAGAGGCCCGCCCGGGACCTGGGGGAGAGAGGGCCTCGGTCCGGTGAGACCAGCCTAGTGGGTGCCTGGGGGAGAGAGGGCCTCGGTCCGGTGAGACCAGCCTGGTGGGGAAGGGAGGGCCTCAGTCCAGTGAGACCAGCCTAGTGGGTGCCTGGGGGAGAGAGGGCCTCGGTCCGGTGAGACCAGCCTGGTGGGGCAGAGAGGGCCTTGGTCCGGTGAGACCAGCCTAGTGGGTGCCTGGGGCAGAGAGGGCCTTGGTCCGGTGAGACCAGCCTAGTGGGTGCCTGGGGGAGAGAGGGCCTCGGTCCGGTGAGACCAGCCTGGTGGGGAAGAGAGGGCCTTGGTCCGGTGAGACCAGCCTAGTGGGTGCCTGGGGGAGAGAGGGCCTCGGTCCGGTGAGACCAGCCTGGTGGGGAAGGGAGGGCCTCAGTCCGGTGAGGAGACCAACCTGGTGGGTCCATGCCACTCTCGCCTGCTGTCAGGGCCTGCCCTTCTCTCCGGCCTCCAGCTGCTTTGCCCCAGCCCAGCCTTCACGCGCCTCAGCTGCCTCCCCCTACCCCGAGCTTGAGTCCAGCTGAGCTGCACGTGGCTTTCCCGGTGGAGCAGACTCTGTCTGATTTCCCGACGGCCGGCACCCCCCAGGGCTTGCTCCCCGCCGTGGAACAGCCCCTTGGGGCCAGGTATGTACTCCAGGCCGTGGCCCGGCAGTGCTGGGAAGTGCCGGTCATGGCTGCTGCACGTGGGTTGCCGTCTGCGAGAGGCCTGTGGTGTTTGCTGAGGGCGGAGGACACTGAGGACAGATAATGGGCGACTAGTCCCAGATGCGGCCATGACTGGGGTGCATGTGGGAAAGCTCGTCCAGGGACACCCCCCCACTATGGCCTGGCGCCTGTCCCGCAGGAAGAGCTTCGGGGCGGTGGGAAGGGGGAGTGGCCCCAGTTGCAGAGGCAAGGAGCGTTGGTGGCCGGGCGGCAAGAGGGACGGGAGGTCAGGCTGACGGTCCACTGGCGAGAGCCCTTCAGACGAAGATAGCGTGGACCCCCTGCCCCATCCCAACACAGGCCCCAGATGCCCTGAAACCCCAGGGGCTCAGCCCAAACCATGAGCAGGAAGCGTTGCTTTACTGAGAAACCATAAAAATGTAGAATTCAACCTCAAACCCTGCTGCGGCCGATACTGAAGGTTAGAAATGAGCAGGTGGGGCCGGGCGCGGTGGCTCACGCCTGTAATCCCAGCACTTTGGGAGGCCGAGGCGGGCAGATCACGAGGTCAGGAGATCGAGACCATCCTGGCTAACATGGTGAAACCGTCTCTACTACCTAGCCGCTACATACTGGGTGAGACTGAACCCCCTCACTACAACAAAGTAAAAAAAAAAAAAAAAAAAAAAAATTGGCCGGGCGAGGCGGCGGCGCCTGTAGTCCCAGCTACTCGGGAGGCTGAGGCAGGAGAATGGCGTGAACCCGGGAGGCGGAGCTTGCAGTGAGCTGAGATCGCGCCACTCACTCCAGCCTGGGTGACACAGTAAGACTCCGTCTCAAAAAAAACAAAAAAACAAAAAACACGAAAAGAAAATGAGCAGGTGGGTCTTTCCCAGGTTCCCTGCGGCCTGTGGCCCCACACATGATGGCCCTCAGCTCAGCCCCAGCCCCCACGGCAGCTGTGGCACCTCGAGCCGCCCAAGATAGCTGCCATGTGCTGGGCCTGATGCTGGGCAGGGCCTGGAATCCCAGGTGTGAAGATGGGCCTGGGTGGTGGCTGCTGGATCTTGTCACAGACGTGCCACCTGCTTCCCAAAACTGGGCACCAGGGGTCTGAGAGGTCGCTGTGGGAAGATCGCTTGTTCCAGGGACCCTGCAGGGTCTTACACGCGTGGCTTAGCGTTTGCTCCTGGGTGGTGATGATGCCCCATCCTGTGTGGCCCCGACCCTGGTCCCCCAGATGGTAAACGGCCTTGGGACGGCCTGGTCAGGAGACACCGAGAGCTGTCCCTGCTGCAGAGCCGAGGGGCCGCCACACTGGGCGTCCATCGGTCTTCTCGCAGCACCACCTGTGCTGGTGGACTGGGAAGGGTGTGGGTGACCCTTGTGACCCACCAGGGTCTTGTGACTGTTTAATGCCCTGGCCCAGGTTCTACCAGTCCTGCTGCAGACCAGCCCTGCTCATTCCTCCCTCTGGCTGTGAAGATGGAAGCCCACGGGTTGGCTGCCTCGGGCCAGGGCTGCCATGCAGGGAAGCCTGGGGAGGGCTGTGGCACTGCCCCCATGGGCCGTGGTATCTCCCCAGGGCCCTGCCTCTCTGGATCTCCTGCACGCACCCCGGCCTCACCTGAAAACCCCACGTACAGCAAAGCGGCGGTGTCTTGGGGCAGGCTGGGCTCTGCCTGGGGCACCATGGGTGGCGTATGCCTCAGTTTCCCCAGTCTTGATGAGAGGGAGCTGGGGTTGCTACTGGTCACTCAGGCCCCAGGCAGACCAAGGCTCACTTCTGTCCACTCCCTGGCCCCCTTCCCAGGAGTCCCACCGGTTCCTGGCTGGGGTCTGGAATCTGTTCTCCCAGGACAGGACCTGCCCTCCCCTCCACTTTCTGCCTGCAAGCTCTGTGGTCCTTCCCTGCCTTGAGCCCAGGGGTCCCTGTGCTCCTGGTCCAGCCTCCCTGCTCAGGGCCGAGGGCACCGGGAGGATGGTGGTTGCAGAAGAATATGGGAGGCCGGGCGCGGTGGCTCAGGCCTGTAATCCCAGCACTTTGGGAGGCCGAGGCGGGCGGACGACTTGAGGCTGTGCACCAGCACTGGACACAGAATCGAAGGGAACAGGCGGGACATACCCTGACTGCACCAGTGCAGCGCGTCTCGGGATCCTGGGTTTTTAGAGATCACGCTGCGGGGGAGGGCTGGTGCCGTCCTGGGTCGGAGGCCGGAAGCGAGGCATAGGCAGAAACTTGCAGGAAGGGTCCCCGAGCGGCCCGGGAGGGGCCTCCTCGCCAGGGTCCCCAGCGAAGCACTTCGCTCATGGGCCCCGGCCCTGAGAGGAGCTCCTGCCTCCTCCCACTCGGAGAGCGCCCACAGGAGGCTTGGCCTGGTGTTTCCCGATGAGATGGGGGCACGTTCCGGGAAGCGGTGAGCAGGCCCGGCAGGCATCAGATGTGGGGCTTCCTGTCTTCGTTGAATGTGCCCCTTGAGCGGGGTCTGGGGTGGAGAGTTGGGGAGGGGAGCCCCACTCCCCTTCTCCTTGTTGTTCTTTTTTTTTTTGTTTGTTTGAGACGGAGTCTTGCTCTGTCGCCCAGGCTGGATGGAGTGCAGTGGCCGGATCTCAGCTCACTGCAAGCTCCGCCTCCCGGGTTCACGCCATTCTCCTGCCTCAGCCTCCCCAGTAGCTGGGACTAAAGGCGCCCGCCACCTCGCCCGGCTAGTTTTTTGTATTTTTTAGTAGAGACGGGGTTTCACCGTGTTAGCCAGGATGGTCTCGATCTCCTGACCTCGTGATCCGCCCGTCTCGGCCTCCCAAAGTGCTGGGATTACAGGCTTGAGCCACCGCGCCCGGCCCTCCTTGTTGTTCTTGGCAGCTGGACTCGGGCAACTGCCTCCACCCTCTGGAGGGGCCTCCCCCTGTGC